CTTGAGCCAGACCTCCTGTCCCTTCCTCTGCAGACTGAGATGGGTCACAGACCCGAAAACGTGCACCTCATCGGCCACAGCTTGGGCTCACACGCGGCCGGCGAGGCGGGAAGGAGGATGGGGGGACGCTTGGGCAGGATCACAGGTAGGGGCGGCCGAGGCCCTCTGCGGGACCCAAGCGCTGGCAGTGAGGAAATCCCAGAATCCGGAGTAGGGGTTCCAAAACCGAGAGTGGGGGAGGACCCGAGATGTGGGGAGACCCCAAACCCACGTGCGGGTGGTGGAAGCTCGCCCCACATCCTTCCCAAACAAGGGTGCCCCTACCGGTCCTTTGGGCGTTCATTTTAGGTGAGACGCTATACTGTGCGTCATGTGTATTTAAATATATGTCATTATGAACAAGAACGCATTCGTAAAGAAGAGTATAACTAAAACACTACGCACACGACCTCAGAGCTATTTTTCCTAGTGCAGTCGCAGTGTAAGACAGAAGACGACTGGTGAGGAAGAAAAATAATTCATCACTTCCAGAACCATGGACAGCGCATATAGACCAGGCACTGGCAGGGAAGCAGAGAGGGCCGCTGAGACCTGCCACTAGAGGTGCTCTGTCAATAAAGAAGGGCTCGCTGAGCTAAAAACAAATGGATGCCCACCACACGGGCCACAAGCAATTCTTTCACGTGGCCAAATGAGCACACATGTTTGATGCCCTGTCAAATCCAGCATTTAATGAGTGGGCCCTGTGTCCACGACCCCCATCTGTAGAAGGGGGAGGGGACCACGAGAATCATTCTTGGGTCTGTAGCACCGCCATTTCCAAAGTCCTTTCTCTTACATCTGTTCCTGTGCTTCTCAGAAGCATCCTCTAGGATCGGTTGCTCCTGCTGTTCCCACTTTCCAGATTAGGGACAGAGGCTCAGAGAGGACAGGTGCTTGACCTTGAGCAGAGAGGAATCCAGGGAGCCTCACTCCTCCCACCCAGAGGAAGTGGGCCCAGTCAGGGACCGCACAGTCTCATCTGAGAGGCAGACAACTGAAGGAGGCAAAGGATCCTGCAGCCAAGTGAATGAGGGCTAGCGAACCCTCTACAGTGTGGGGGATGGACTGAAAAGGGGGCTGAAATGCCCGTGTTAGGATGGAGGGGGTTGCACTGCAGAGGTGGCATTTGAGCTGGGGCTTGGGGGAGACAGATTTTGGTGAAATTAGAATGTGCGGAGGGTCATGGCAGACTAGGGAACCACAGGAGTCAAGACACAGAAGTGTGCAGGGCTGAGGCAATGGGAAGTAGCTGGGTGGGGCCAGGGAGCTTACTGTCTCCAAGAGCAATGACTAAATATGAGCGTGTGTGTGTGTGTGTGTGTGTGCGCGCGCGCGCGCGCGCGCACGCGCGCACATATTTGGAGAGAGGAAATGGGGTGGAGGGTTGGGGGTTGGGGTAACGGTACCACCTGGATCCTCCCTGGAGCAAGGCACTGGGGAAATCTGACTATTGGTGGCCAGGCAGTGGCTCTGTTTCAGACCTTGCTGTCCCAGACGCCCTCTCCTGAGCAGACCAGCCACTGCAGAATCAGTCTCTGAAAATGGTTCCCAGGCTGGGCTTTGTGTGTGCGTTCAGGGTTCTGTGGGCCAGGACCTGGCTTATCTGGCCGTGTGCTGCCTTTAGGGCTGGATCCGGCAGAGCCGTGCTTCCAGGGCACACCTGAAGAGGTTCGGCTGGACCCATCCGACGCCATGTTTGTGGATGTGATTCATACGGATGCTGCTCCCATAATCCCTTTCCTAGGTGAGTTCCTCACTGCGCCTCCTGGTGACCAGGACTACAGCCCAGGTGCACCCCATCTAACTGAGCCCTCCCCCCCCCCCACACACACACATATATACTCCAGGGTAATTGTTTAAATGGCTAGCACAAGAATGGCTTGGACACTCACCCATCCAAATGAGTGCCAACACCAAATAAGAGTCATGTGTGCCAGCACTATCACCTTCAGTCCAACTGGACCAAGAAGCACCTCTGTAGTCTGTCAAAAGCATTGCTCTGTTTTCAAGCCCGCATCCTTCCTCAGTCTGCCACTAGGCAGAGCAGAAAATCTACCGCTTATTGATTCTTGACCTGCAAGACGTTAATTTGGGAACTTCTTTTTCTTACTGCTTTTATCAAAGCTTCCAAAATCTACGTTCTTCTTTTGATGTTTCCTTACATGACCATCCATGAGACTTGCCGATAGAGTATGCTTGTGAGGAGGAGGAGGTGAACACTTCATAGGTGTTTAGCATGTGCTTCACTGAGTGAGTGAGTGAGTGAGTGAGCGCTTTCAAGCAGTATCTCATCAATCCGTGTAGCCCTGCAAATCGGGCGCCCATGTCACCATTGTCTAGCGGTGGAAGCTGAGGCACAGTGAGGGGAAGGGACTGCTCAAGGTCACAGAGTCTGGAAGTGCAGCCAGGCGGTGCAGCAGTTCTGTGTGCTCCCAAAGCCAGTGTACCTAGCTAGCCAGCATGCTGTCTCTCCACAAAATGATTTAAGAATATATGCTCTCAATAACAATTCTGGGGGTCTTCAAAATATTCATAGTCATAGCCCATTGTCTTTTTTTTTAATTTAATGTGAGTTGGGTGAAGGTTTACAGAGCAAATCAGTTTTCCATTCAGCAATCCATATGCATTTTGTTTCATATCATTGACTGCAATCCCCACAGTATGATATCACTTACCCCACTTCCTCCTGCTCTCCATTTGCATGCCTCCTTCTTCCCAAACTCTTCTGAACTTTGACCTTGGGTAACTGCTCCCCTTTTGCTCTCAAATGGTTGACTAGTCTAAAGGGTCTGTACCTCCCTAATGTTGCTGTTCCCCTCAGAGACTCGCCTGCTCTTTGGCTGAAAACCAAGCTCTGGGGATGAGTTCAGGTCCAGACCTACAGGGTGGCTAAGAGGCCACAGTCTCAAGGGTTCCACCAGTCTTCATCTGACCAATACGCCTGGTCTTCTCTGGGCTTTCATTTATTTCTCCACTAACTTTTTGAACCCCCTTCATCTAACATAGAAAGTAACATTTTAGAATGACTACACCAGGCTGCACAGTCTAATATGAGTCAGCTACTATGTTCTGGTATCAGTATCCACCAGGGTTGCCCAGGGCCTCTCCATGACACATGCACACACACACACACACACACACACACTCACACATGTACACTCACCCCAAGGCCACCTCCCCCTTGTCTTGCTTCCTTCGTCACTCCTCCCCATTCATCTGCCTCCATGCCCATCTCTGGGAACTTCTTGCAGCTGCACCTGGCTGAGAGGAGGATTTGCAGGGAAGGCTCTTGCTCTGGTTGTTGCCATGACCTAACTTGGGAACCACTGACCCTCCAAATGTTTCAGGTTTTGGAATGAGTCAGAAGGTGGGCCATTTAGATTTCTTCCCCAATGGAGGAGAGCACATGCCTGGATGTCAGAAAAACATCTTGTCAACCATCGTGGACATCAACGGACTTTGGGAAGGTACCTAAGTCAAAGAAATAAGACAGCTTCTGCGCACCCTGGGGGTGTGGGGGGTGGCGGGTGGGGACAGTGGTGTGGGGGCTGGGCCTTCAGAATTGGCAGCCATTGCTTGAGAGCTTAGTTCTGGAGCAGCTGTGTTCACAACGATGTCATGACGGAGCCACTCTGGGGAGCTCCCCCTTTTACAGATGAGGAAACGGGCTCAGGAAAAATTGTAGAACTCGCCAAAGGCCACCCTTTATTTAAGTCCGGTTTCTGGCTGCAAAGCCCAGCCTGTGCTGTCTGCCCCGGTTTGCCAGTGTGTCAGTCCTTGCCAAGCACCAGACTGGCAAGGAGGCAAGAGCTCGGCTTGGCTTTGGCCGCCAGGCCCATCCTCGGTCCCTGCTGCTTAAAGACCCGTGACTGGATCGGGAGGGCTTTAACTTTCTTGTCATTTGCTAATATCAGGTCTTAGGAATGAAGGGGAGTAAGTTAGCCAAGGGGGGGAGGGGAGACAAAGGTGGTATGACCCCTCTGGGCTTGGGGGAGCGGGGGGACAATGGGAGGCCTTGGGGACCTGTAGTGGCTCCTAGGGGCCTTGTGTAAGAGAGCAAACTCAGTGTCCCTGGGTTGTTATGGTTGCGGTTGCTGCTGCTGCCACCGCAGGGTCAGCCCCGGGCTCCACACATTAGAATGGCACATTGCCCAGTCCTGTGTCTTCCTCATGGAGGTTGCCGAGCAAACTGTTGTGGTTGACAGCACAGCTGGAGGAGTGGGTCGCCAGGCCTTTCTTCTTAGTGTGCCTTAGTCTGGAAACTCTACTGAGACCTGTTTAGCATCATAACAAAATGACAGATAGGCGGGCATGAGGTGCCCTGGCTGAGAACAGAACCTGGATCTCCCGAGTGGAAGGCGAGAATTCTGCCACTTAACTATCACTGCCCCTACCCACCTAATATTCCCTCCCATGCTTATCCATTGCCTCTGAGTCCAGCCGGGCTCCCAGTGACCCTGCAGGACAGAGTCGAACTGCTCCTTCGAGTTTCCAAGACTGTAAATTCTTTACAGGAGCAGAGCTGCTGGTGAACTTGAACCACCCACCTAGGGATTAGCAGCCCAATACGTAACACACCAGAGCGCCTTACATCTAATGTTAGGAGTCATCAGTGTGCTGTCACATTCTCGCCCCTCCGCTGGCCTTCATCTGTCCCTACTACCCGTCCCGAGGCTCGCCTCCTCATGCTGGTCCCTGGAAGTGGACCCTTCTGGTCTGCAGCCATTTTCATTCTGCTCTTGTTTTTCTGAGCCTGGAGGCCTCTGGGACCTGGGACTGTGGCATGCGGTGTCCCACACCCTCCAGGACCCCACTGGGGCCCCAGTCCAGTCTGTTAAGTTAAGACAAGTGGCCTTGGCAGGCATTTTAATCTTCCTTGTATTTAAAGAGCAGACTGGGTAAAGCAATAGCCCCCACCCCCGGACAAATAATCAGAGGTTTTGACCCCTTGTGAGTGCTGCCCCAGGTAACACCAGGCCAGACGAGGCTGTGAAAGAACCCCAGAGTTCCAATAATAGCTGCCCACTCCCAGGCATGGCGCGCGACGCACACAGAATAGAAAGGAGCCCGGCTTTAATTAAAGAGGCAATTTAGAGGGAACAAGTCCATGAGCTCGGGAGCATGCTGCTATTGTTCAGAGCACCAAGCCATCAGGCACTGGGCATGGGGGAACAATTAAACCCACTTTCTCCTCTATTGTGGAATTCCCTGGGCTGCAATTCGGGATGAAAGGAACAATTAAGTTGGAAACAGGTTCTGGGGTCCAGGCGGGGACCTGGGTGTGGACTGGGGGGAAGCTGGCTTTGGTCGGAAAGCAATCATGTGGGGCCTGGTGAGGCTGGGGGCGGCGGTGACAAATCCACTCTGAACAAAGGGGAAGGGTCTTCTTTCAGGGGTAAGGAACAAAGCCCGACAGACCCTCCCAGGAGTGGTCCTCCGGGTCGGACGCGTCAGTCACCATGTTGGACGTTTTCAACCAAGTTGCTAGAGAAAGTAGAAAGCAGTGTACCGAACGAGAAGAGTTTGGCCTAAAGGAGAATGTGGTCAACAGAATACAATGAAAGAATGGCCAGCGGGCCACAGTGACCACCGTCTCTGAGGCCCTTACCTTGTCCCCGAATGGCAAAGCGGAGGCATTTCTCAGTCCAGTTGGTTCGTGTGGCCCGGGGTCTCAAACTGCGGCCCTGAGGGCAGGATGCAGGTCGGGGCAGCATTTGGTTGGCTGTCACAGTGAGTTTTGTAATGGGACTTCATTGCCAATGTCTGAACAGGACAAACTTTTCATAGGAAAGATTCTAGCTTCTAGTGAAAACTCAAAAGATTAAAGAAAGTTGGGGCTGGCTTTGCACGTGGCAACAACTGCCTGAGCTGGGTCCAAATCCCAAACTCACGGTAGAACTGTCCCTGTGAGTTTCCTACACTCTAACTCTTCACAGGGGTAGAAAGCCCTGGGTCGCTCTCCTCAGCAGATGGGCACAATGTTGGGAAGACTGGCACCCACTACTAAGCAAACTCCCAAACTTCCTACTTGCCTCTAAGCCTCTCCAAGTCAATGACCATGGTGACAAAGGCGCCCAGCAACACTGACGCCATCTGGGATGCCTCGCTTGGTCAGCCCGGTTCCTCTTCCTCAGTGGCAGCCTTCTTTTCCTCCCCTTGCTCTCACAGGAACCCGGGACTTTGTAGCTTGCAATCACCTAAGAAGCTACAAGTATTACTCGAACAGCATCACCACCCCAGACGGCTTCCTGGGATACCCGTGCGCCTCGTACGATAAGTTTCAGGAGGTGGGTCACACCGGGACCCTGGGGAGAAGCTGCTGGGTCACCTGTTGCTGGTGGTTTTGTCTCTGCAGCTTAGAACAAAGTCAGGATATGGAAGATGGGATTTCACAGAGGAGAGAGCGGGACTTGCTGAGTCTCATGAAGCCTTCCTCGGGCATAGAGAGGGCAGCAGGGGAGACGCAAAGGACGTTCAAATCTACACAGAAGTTGGAAGCAGCTTTCAATGAATGCTTACACATTCATCATCTGCTGCTAGCATTTCTGTCTCATTAGCTTGGGGTCAATTTTCTCTCCTGAGAGGGACAGGGCTGGGAAGAAGAAAAAAGTACAAGAGCTCTACAAAGTACTTCAAAAAGTTCCTGGAAAATGGAATGAAAAGATAAGGAATTTTTCCATGAACATTTGAAGGCCCTTCCTATATAGCATATATGTGGGTGGAGGGGTAGTGTTCAAAAACGTTGCTGCTGTTTATTATCGAGTTGATCTTAACTTGTAACAACTCTATAGGCCCCTATAGGACAGAGTCGAACTGCTCCCTTAGGATTCCACAGAAAGGCACTCTGTTGCTATAAAGAGTTATGCATTGAGCTGCTAACCACAAGGTTGGCAGTTCCAATCCACCAGTTGCTCCTTGGGGGAAAGATGAGGCAATCCATCCCTGTAAAGATGCACAGCCTTGGAAACCCCAAAGGACAGTTCCACTCTGCGGGAGGACTGCTCTGTGTCAGGGCCCACTGCTGGCAAAGGGTTATTGTTGGGGTGGGGTTGGGGTTGGCTTTTGAATCTTTATAGGATTGCATAGTCAGGTCTCTGCTCCCCACAGCGGGTCAATGAACTCACACTACAGTTAGCCACTGTGTCTAGACATGTATACTTATATCTATGTGCATGTCTATATATACAGAGAATGAGAATGCATGAGTGTATACTGTATATCAACAGATTGATCCAATAGCTGCAATAATGGGCTCAAAGAGAACAATTATGAAGGTGGCACAGTTGCACATATAGGGTCTTGGCAATTAACAACAACATATAGAATATACATATACTTTCCCCAAAATTATGTGACAATAAATTCAAGTTATTTTGACGCTTGACTCATAAACACAACAGCTTTCATTTCTTGGGAACATCATTCTCCAATAGAACCATGTCCAAGAGATCTAATGTCTGCGATGCTCACAGTTTTCTAGCATATGACCCGTAGTGGTACTGCGCTGATAATCCAGACAGTGTCCTCTGGTGCCACCGCCTGTCTTTCTCTCACTCTCTTTCTCTGCCCGACATTGTGTTCCTTGTCTTCTCCCGTTGGTCTCCTTTAACCTAGGACAGTGCTCTCCATTCTGCTCAGCCATTGCGGACAAGGGACAGTTGGGAGGATTCCAGATGGGGCGTTTCGTAGGCTATGCACACTCGGACTCTGTTTTGTCACCTCTTTGTGATTGGATGAGTGGCATGTGTATCCTCAGGGCACCCAAACCAGAGGCAGGTGAAGTCCGGCTGCCCCAGGATTCGGTGACATCGAGTTTGAGGACGTGGTGATCAGTTGAACTAGGGTGAAGGGAGGGGGTCGGCCGGGTATTCTCTAGGAACCCTTCTGTGAGGTGAGCGAAATGGTTTCTTGGCAGACAGAGAAAGGTGTGAGTTTCTGTTGAGGATCCTTAGCTGAATCCATGATCACATTAGGGGTTTGCAAAAGTTGGACATTTTAAAGTATTTTTCTCAAAGGTAAAATTAGAAATAAGTCTCACACATTTCCCTTTTAAGCTGATGTTGACCTCTGCACCCCTGATTTGAACCCTAAGGTCAACAGGTCATCTTCGCCTATGACCAAGATCTGTTGCATGTTCAGTGAGTAACACTGGCTATTCTAGTCATTCAGGAGATGTGGGCACGTGGCCTCCAGAACTTCCCTTATGCCCACACATCACAGTCTAGCTTTGCCCTCAGCACAGGACGGAGGTGGTGCTGAAGGGAAAGAACAGAGGAGCAGGGTGCCTTGCTGGAAAGTGCCGGCCTGGGCCAAAGGGAGGAACTGCCTCCTCCAGGCTCCAATAATCAACTGCCAATTTGCAAAGCATCCGATGGAGAATCAAGGCATCTGGACAGATAGTTCACACGACAATGAAAATGGTCAAGGCCCTTGTCTTCCTCCCCTCTTCTCAAGTAACTCACGATCTGTCCCATCTGCATCTCCCCAGAAATGGTCTCTTCCACCTTCTTGCATCTTTTTATTTCACTGCTTCCTGGACGTGATTTGCCCCCTCAAATCCACTTCTATCTTTTCAAGGGACTTCTGTGGGTGCCCTTCAGGAGCCACAGAAGTTCTAAACAATACTGAACATGGACAGATAAATGGATGACCAGATGGATGGAAGAGCGGATGAGTAAATGAGAGGGTGGGTGGAGGGTGAGTGGGTAGATGGAGGGTTAAGTGGATGGACAAGAGGATTAGCAGTTAAGTGGATGCCTGGCTAGGAAAATGCATAGAAAGATAAATTGGTCCAGTGAATGGGGGAGTAACTCCAAGGCCTGTCGGTCTCTAACAGATATATTGTGTATCTCTACTAGAATGGGTGTTTCCCTTGTCCACACGGAGGATGCCCCCAAATGGGACACTATGCTGACCAATTTAAGGGGAAGACCAGTGCTGTGGGACAGGCGTTTTTCCTGAACACGGGAGACAGTGCTAACTTTGCCCGTAAGTTTCCATTTTGGTCATGTAAGAATTAGTGCAAGTGATCTTAAAAGTATGACAGCTTTATAAGCAAGGGATGGTGCTGAACTCTACTATTTACTCCCCTCTGAGGTCCTCCATCCCACCTAGAATCTCAGTCCCTGGGCCCCAAGTTCATGAAATGAAACCATTGGGTTCATTTTTCTTTTGCTCTCCCCCATATGGGATTCTGAGCTTGGGGGTAGGGGGGGAGGAGTTCGGAAAATGCCTGTTTTGAGTTTTTATTTTAATTTGCATGTGTCTATAAATGCTCAGAGAATGATCTTGATGACATTATCATTTGATGCTGTGGGGAGATGTTCTGTGCATGAGAAAATGGTTAGCAGCATCCCTGGCTCCTCTCTCCACACACCCCACCCCAACACGCCCCACCCCAACACACCCCACCCCAACACATCCCACCCCAGCTCAGAAAACCAAAAGGTCTGCAGACCTTGCCAAATGCTCCCCACAGGACCAACCATTCCCCTGAGAATCACGCGGGTCCACATTAAGGATAGACGGCAAGCAACGAAGTCCCCAGGGGATACCAGAAATAGACTTTGGGGCCAGGGCATGGCACCCCATCAGACTTGACCAGAAAACACTCCTAAAGGTCAACGGACCTTCAACTATTTACAGGCTTTCTTTTTTTTTTTTTTCCTGTCATTGGTTTTGTTGTTGTTGTTTTGTTTTCTTTTGTTGCTTTGTTTTGATCTGTCTGGTTTTTGTGCATATTATTATCTCTGCCAGTCTATCTAGATAAGATAGGCAGATAAACAATCTGCAGGAGAAAACAACGGGACCGGTGACAGTTTATGGTAGACATGGGAGAGGGGGAGGCAGGGGAAAGAAAATGGGTGCTAACAAACCCAGGGACAAGGAAACAACAAGTGATCCAAAATCGATGGTGAGGAGGGTGTAAGAGGCTTGGTAGGGCATGACCAAAGGTAATGTAACCCAGAGGAATTACTGAAACCCAAATGAAGGCTGAGCATGATAGTGGGACAAGAGGAAAGTAAAAGGAAATAGAGGAAAGAACTAAGAGGCAAAGGGCACAATATATTTATATATGATGATGGGGAAATAGATCTATTTATAGGTTTAGTACTAAGGTAGCAGATGGACATTGGGCCTCCACTCAAGTACTCCCTCAATGCAAGAACACTTTATTATATTAAACTGGCATTCCATGGTGCTCACCTTCCCAACACGATTGCTGAGGATATCAAAAGATATAGCATCTGGGGTCTTAAAGGCTAGGAGATAAACAAGTGACCATCTAGCTGAGAAGCAACAAAGCCCACATGGAAAAAGCACGCCAGTCTCTGTGATCACAAGGTATCGAAGGGATCAGGTATCAGGCATTAAAGACCCAGAACCAAAAATCATATCAATGCTAATGAGGGGGAGTGTGGGGCGGAGATCCAAAGGCCATCTGTAGGCAACTGGGCATCCCCTTACAGAAAGGTCTCAGGGAGGAGATGAGCCAGTCAGGGTGCAGTATAGCACCAATGAAACATGCAATTTTCCTCTAGTTCTTGAATGTTTCCCCCCAGCCCCACCCCAACATGATCCCAATTCTACCTTACAAATCTGGCTAGACCAGAGGATGTACACTTGTACAGATAAGAGCTAGAAACACAGGGAATCCAGGACAGATAAACCCCTCAGGACCAATAATGAGAGTGGTGATACCAGGAGGGGAAGGAGGAGGTAGGGGAGAAAGTGGGTTCCGATCACAATGATCTGCATATAACCCCCTCCCTAGGTATGGACAATAGAAAAGTGGGTGAAAGGAGACACCAGGCAATGTAAGACATGAAAAAAATTTTTTATAAATTATCAAGGGTTCATGAGGGAAGGAGGGAGCGGGGAGGGAGGGGGAAAATGAGAAACTGATACCAAGGGCTCAAGTAGAAAGAAAATGCTTTGAGAATGATTATGGCAACAAATGTACAAATGTGCTTGACACAACAGATGGATAGATGGATTGTGATAAGAGTTGTATGAGCCCCCAATATAATAATTTAAAAGAAAAAAAAGGACAGACATCAAACTAGCAAGCTCACAACTTGCTAGCAAGCTAGGGTGGAGCTGGGCAGGAGGATGGTGATCAAAGGGGAGGATTTTGTGTTGTTTTTGAGGCCAGGTTCATTGCACATAAAAATAGCAAAAAAACAAAATGAGAGAGAGAGAGAGAACTTCAGTGCTTCCTCCAGGTGGTGGAGCCTCAAGCATCCACATACTGATGAATAGGCAGCTTATACAGGTGCATCACTGTGCACCTTTCACCCACCGGGACACATACCTTGCTGTACTGGGAAGGGATTGTGCAGAACTCTACTATCTACTATGCTCAACGTCTCCCATCCCCACCTAAAAGTGGGTTCCTGAGCCCCCAGCTTCAAGAAAGGAGACCATTTGTTGTATTTCCCCTTGGCTCTCACCCTTGGGGAATTCCAAGCTTGACCCTGAATGCTTCCATGGAATCCTTGTTCCGCAAGACAAGCTCCCTCATTGACCTCATTGTGTTTCTTTGGACAGGCTGGCGATATAGGGTGTCTGTCAAACTCACTGGGAAAAGAAAAGTGAGTGGGTACTTCAGGATTGCTTTGTATGGAAGTAATGGAAACTCAAAGCAGTATCAGATTTTCAAGTAAGTTGAATATTAAAGTGAAATGAGCAGACCTTCCACAATAGATAACTCACGTAGGTGAGAATGGATATAAATGATTTTCTAATCTAAGCAGCTGTGAAACTGAACCGTTGAACCCTAGAGGTTCAACAGGAAGCCCAAACCATTGCCATTTTAATTGATTCCAACTCGTAGCAACCCTGGAGACAGGGGACCGCTCTGGAGGGCTCCCGAGGCTTTACAAAAGCTTTACAACTTTACGAAAGTAGACTGCCGCATCTTTCTCCTGCTGAGTGGTTTGGGTGGTTTTGAACCACCAACATTGTGGCTTAGCAGCCCATTGCTTAACCCAATGTGCCCCCCAAGGCTCTGGAAAGAAATTTTCCTCCAATCACCCTGTTTTACATATAACAAGCTTGCGGCCCAGAGAGGGGGAACACAGAAGGAGTCACGGGTCGACTTATTTTGGATTGTCCAGCACTGTTTTCTGCCTGGGGTCTCATTCTCTCCCTGCCATCGAGTCAATTCCAACTCAGAGTGACTCTCTAGGACAGAGTAGAACTGCCCCTGGGAGCTTCCACGACTCTTGATGTGAGTAAAAAGTCTCATCTTTCTCCTAAAAGGCAGCTGGTGGTTTTGAACTGTTCACTTGCAGTCAGCAGCCCAACTCTTAGCCTACTATGGGACCAGGGCTCCTGACTGAAGTTGTAGGAATACAGAATTTTCCTCAAGGAAGGAACATCCATCTCCCCTCAACAGTGGTGGTATTCCAACGATTTAACTACCAGTTCACTGCCAGTGACTGCTTTAAGTATTAAGAAAGGTATACCGGAAGATGGATTACTATTTCAACATATCAGAACACTGCACAAATGAGTGTTAAAAAAGAGTAAGGAATGTAAATTAGTGATTTCCACATTGGGCCCAGTCGCCCAGCTCTGGCAGGACCCAGATTACAGGAGCATTTTCACAGGGTTCACGGAACTCAACAAAAAATTAAGTTTCTGTTCTGCCTAACTAGTGTGAACCAGGTGAATCCACCACTGTCCTTCAATTACACACTCACACATACACCACACACACACACACACACACCACATAAACACCACGCACATCACACACACACCCCACACACATGCACACCACATACCCACATAAACACCACACACACATGCACATCACATACCCACATAAACACCACACACACATGCACACTACATACCCACATAAACACCACACACACATGCACACCACATACCCACATAAACACCACACACACATGCACACCACATACCCACATAAACACCACACACATCACACACATACACCACACACACATGTACACCACATACACACACCACACATACATACACCATACACATACCACACACACACTATGCACAACATACGCACCACACACAACACACATACATACACACAGCACTCACATCACACATACACACAGCACACACACACCATACCACACACACCACACATATGCCACATGCACATATGCCACACACACATGCGCACCTCATACACACACCACACATACATATACACCAGACAGCACACACACATACCACACACACATGCACACCACATGCATACACACTCACACACACACACTTGCTCCATGAAGTTTTGGGCTCTATTCTTTCTTGTTTTGAGATTTTTAACACTTGAATCATTTGTATTTCTGGCATTTCTTTTAACTTTCTCTTGTAAGCTGAGTGGCATTTACAGAGCAAATGGTTTCCCACCCCTTTGTTGTAGCATCGACTACACTGATACACCCCTCCCAATCTAACAGCTCTCTTCCCCCGTCCTCTGTCCATCCCGCTTCCGTTCATCCTTCTTTCCTCTCCCTTCCTCACTTGGAGCTTGTCCTCGGTCAAGGCTGGCTCTGGGTCTCCCACGGCTGATTGTTCTAGGGCGTGTGCAGCTCCGCGGTGTTACTGTGCACCTCACAGCCCTGCCGACTGTTTGACTAGCCAGTGAACAACAGAGGTGAGTTCAGTTCCAGGCTTACTGTGTCCAAGGGTCATCGTCTCAGGGGGTTCACCAGTCCTATCAGACCTAGCAAACCTAACCCCCTGCCATCAAGTCACTGCCGACTCAGAGTGACCTACAGGACAGGGTAGAAGTGTCCCTCTGAGTTTCCCAGACTGGTACTCATGACAGGAGTAGAAAGCTGTGATCTTACTCTCACGGAGCAGCTGGTGGATTCAAATTACAGACCATATGGTTAGCAGCCCAATGTGTAACCCCTGCGCCACGAGAGTAGTGGTCACTCATTGGGCTGCAAATCTCAAGGTCAGCAGTTTGAAACCACCAGCCTCTCCTCTGGAGGAAGATAAAGCTTTCAACATCCGTCAAAAGTTACAGTCTCTGAAACCCACAGAGGGGGTTTCACTCAGACTTATAGGGTCACTATCAACTCGATGGCAGTGAGATCAGATTAGTAAGTCTAGTCTTCTTTGTGATTTGGGGGTTTGCCCACATTTTTCTCCCACTCTACCCAGGACCTCCTATTGCGGTCCTCTTCAGAGATGGCGGCATTGGTAGGCGGGCACCATCTAGTTCTTCTGGTTCAGGGTCTTGAAGGCTGGGTTTCATTCACATGGTGCATTCATCCTTGGGAGTTTGTTTGTTTTTAACACCTTTGATTTCCTTCCACCTTCTCTGCTTTAGACCAAGAAAAACCAATCGTTGCACCTTAAATGATTGCCCACAGACTTTCAGGATTCCAGTCACTAGTCATCAAAGTAGGCTCTAAAGCATTGTCTTCTTGGACTATGCTCTGCCAGTTGACCGAGATGTCCCCCAAGACTACTGTCCTGAACGCCTAGACCCAGTGACTCATTCTCTCTAGGTATTGGTTACGTCTAAGAAGAGTCTGTTACTTTGATGGACCCTATTCTTGTCGTTGTGCTAAGCTCGGCACTGGACATATTGTGGGCTCAAAAGGCAGTTGGTACATGTGTGCTGGATGAATGCTCACCTTGTGCTACAAAATTAGATTCTACTCTGGGCTCAAAGTTTTACAGAGTAGTTTTCATGTTGGGTTAAAGTTCTTTGAACACTTTTCTGTGCTACCTATGAAAACCAGCTGCTACCCTGTCAACCCCGACTCATAGGGACCACCAACTATCCCAGAGTAGAATTGCGATCCATAGGGCTTTTAGGGAAGGTTTTTCATGAGTAGACTGCAGACCTTTCTTCCAAAGTGCCTCTGAGGGGACTTGAACTTCCAGCCCCTGGCCAAGTGTGTGAACAGTTTGCATCACTGGTTCAAAGGAGATGCTGCCAAATGGGCCTAGAGAATGGTGTGCAACTTTCAATATAGACACCCTATAAACTAGTCCCATAGCAAACTGACAGCATTAATCTGCCACCGCAAGAACCTGCCGACCCACTGGGGACAAACAAACCAAAACAGTGGAAACTGAGCGTCCAGTACTTTTTAAAGAATTGTCCTACACAAATACATTCCTGGGTGAGATGCCACTCCATGTTTACCTGGGCATTAGAGGCACTTACAGGATTGACTCATTTTATGTCTACATTTTCAGAGGCTCCCTCCTACCAGACGCAAGGCATACACTTGACATTGATGTGGACCTCAATGTTGGAAAACTCGAGAAGGTTAAGTTCCTCTGGAACAACCATGTGATAAATCTCCTTCATCCCACACTGGGGGCTTCCCAAATCACGGTGCAAAGTGGGGAAGAAGGAACTGAGTACGTACCTTTTACCTCATTTAAGTCTTATTATATGTTTATTCATTCATCCATTTGCATACATATCCATCCATCCAATCACCTACCTACTCATCTATGTATCTCCCTACCTACCTATCCATCCTCCCATCCCTTTCTGCCCATCCTTATATCCACTTCCTTATCCACCAACCAGGTTTGATCTCTCCATTCTTTGATCCACCCCCTCCCCCATCCATTTACTCTGCCATTCCCCTCCATTCTTCTGTCCACTGATCCATCTCCACCCTCCCTCCATTTGCTGTACTTTGAAAAATCAAATATAATTTCCCTGAGACCAAATTCCCATTGTCAGGGCAAGGTATTCAATCGAGAAACAGGCAAACATGAGATTATTTTATGAGATCATACAGATTATTTGCTGTATGCCGAACAGCAAGTAGAACACCAGGAGGTGCCTGTGGCTGTGTAGTCATTCTGGTAAATTGGTTGTGTTTGGAGACCCGGGCATAAGAAGGACAGGGAATGTATTGGAAATCTACCCTGGCTCTTCTCATTCTGAGGGTACAGAATCTTGCTTGGAGGCAAAGGGCTGGAACAGACCTTCACTCCTGTCCATGGGCTGCAGAACAGAGCACACTTTAGGGATCCGTTCATTAGCAAATGGTACGGGAGCTGTTTCCAATTTGGGGCTATTATGAATCATGCCGTTCTGAATATTGATGTCCGTGGTTCTGTGTAAACATACATTCTCATTCTCTTGGATTCTGTCTAAGAGTTGAGTCTCTGGGTCCTGTGGTAGGTCTGCGTTTACCGTTAGAGCATGCCTTCCACTCATTTTCAGTTCATGAAGGGCCCTCCAAGAGAGAGGGGGTTACTGGAGTGGTCTGTGTAGTGAGGCTCACTGCCTGGGAAAACGAAGACCTTCCGGCAAAGCGATCTGAGTTGCAGGGGGCTGGCTAAATGGTAGTTACTTATCTGAGATCACATTTCCACAAACAGAGGATCTCATGCTGAAAGCGTTTTCCTCCACAGGTATAAATTTTGTGGCAGCGGCACCGTGCAAGAAGACGTTTTGCAATCTCTTTACCCTTGTTAAAGGGGGATGCTGCTTTTTTCTCAGTTCTGGTAATAAATGTCTCAATGCACTCAGTCTGGCGTGCTGGTGTTGGTGTGCCCTCCGTCTGTTCGGGTGGACATTGCAGAAATGGGTATGGAGGCTGGAGCCAAGTTGGCTACAAATAATGCTTGAACCTTTTCAACTCCCTGCCTCTGTTGCCCCCTTGGAGCTGTAAGAGAAAAATCAAAACAGTTCCCTTCTCAGGCCATCCCCTAGACCAGCGGTTCTCAACCTGTAGGTCGCGGCCCCTTTGTGGGTCCAACGGTCCTTTCACAAGGGTCACCCAAGTCATAACAGTAGCAAAATGACAGTGAGAATGTAGCAACGAAAATAATTTTATGGTTGGGCGTCACCACCACATGAGGAACTGTATGAGAGGGTCGTGGCATTAGGAAGGTTGAGAACCACTGTCCTAGACCATCCAAATTTTGAGGCTGGAGCCCACATCTGGATTTTTCCAAGCTTCCTCAGAGAGGTGCAGCCAAGGTTGGGAAACGCCATGAGCGTGTCCATCCACCTTTGTAATGAACTCTGTGATGCACATTCTAGTCTAGACTCTCACCGATCCTCATGGTGTGATGGCAGCTTAAACACTCAGCCCCTGAGGTCAAGTAGCATCACAGCTGACTCCCAGCTTTGGGTCTTTCTGCCTGGGTAATCCAGGCTGGTTACTTAAAAGGGTTAAATAAAATAAAACATGCAAAGCACTAATACCTGGCATACAATCAACAGTCAACAAATGAAGATGGGCTGTTCTTTTTTTCTTTTCCCCCTTTCCTATTTTATTAGGGGCTCATACAACTGTTATCACAATCTATACACACATCAATTGTGTAAAGCACATTTGTACATCATTCTCAAAACTCATTCTCAAAACATTTTCTCTCCACTTAAACCCCCAGCATTAGGTCCTCATTTTTCCCCTCCCTCCGACATCCCTAAAAGAAGCAGGCTCTGATGGTTACCGAGAGGGAGGGAGGGAGGGAGGGAAAGGAGGAGAAGGGGGCGTCATAGGTTAGAGGCAAAATGATGGAAGCAGGACAAGACATTGGGAGGGGTGAGGAGTTGTTGAATATAAAGTTGATGATCTGACCTCCATCTCATTCAGAACTAAAAGTTTACTAAATAAATAAATAAACAGTACTAACACCACCAAAGCCAAAGCCAAGTCTTATCTCTTCAGAGGAGGTCTTTGAAATGTCTACCACAAGCGAGGGATTAGTTTTCAGCCTTCATACAGAGAAGGCCAACCCAAGAGAAGGACACAGCAGGCAACCCACGAAGAGGAAAACCTGGCTACCAACCCCACTGAGAATCTGAACACCGCAGTCATCACACTCATCGGGTTATCTAAACTATACATTCAGCAATGAAAAAGAATGAGCTAACATGCACGATGTACCAGCATAACTAGATCCCCCAAATGCCCTGTGAAATGCCCTAGCTTTTCCCAAGCAAGTAGCAGGAAGATGTCATTTCGATACAGAAATTGCCTCTGATATCCATTTGGATGGACAAAATGCAACTGCTCAGTGCACATGTGGTACAAGATATCAAAGCCTGGCCTAAGAGAACCCTTCTTTGTGAATAAGAGCATGCAGATTGGAAGCAAATATGATCAAAGTTTCATCTCTGCTCATTCCAGGAGGAGGTAGCAGTGCTGTGTGTCTGTTATTTTTGTTGTTGCTGTAGTTTTAATTTATTAGCCAACTTTAAGACGAAAGCAGGGGAAAGAGATTAAGAAGATTACACATTCACGCAGATGGATGAAGCTTAATATTTTGGGATTCGGGACCTGTCAATGCTGGGAGGAGCCACTGGTAAAAGGTAGCTGAGTGAATTTCTATGGCTGACTACCCCCTAGGCAGTCCCATGTCAGTATCTGCATTTAAAGCCTGATTTATCTGCTACTGTTCCTGAGACGTACAGCTGGAAGATCCTGCATGCATTCTCTTGGGAGCTGGTATCCACAGCATCAAAGCCCTCCACCCTCAATCTCTCAGTCATGCCACCTGCCCTCGGCATCATGCACTGCTAATGAGGTCCAAACCCGGGGGCCCAAGCAGCACCTTGCTGCAGCCAACTGAGACCCCTGCTGTATAGATAACTCTCTTTCTCAGCATTAACCTGCCCATGCACGTAATTCTACCAAGGTCTCACCAATTCAGGATATGAACAATAACAGAGGTGCAATAAACAGATAGAAATATATATATTTTAAAAGCTCTCCGTTAAGAATCCAGCCTCTTCATCCTGTCTCCTTCCCCTCCATTGGGGAGAAAAATGAATACTTTACAAAGCCATTTCATAAAATGTTATGTTAAATGAAAAACAAATTACTTTTCCCCCTACTAGCTTTTAATGCTAATGGTACCATTTATTCCTGACCTTCGAAAATATGAGATACGTTAAATGACAACATAAAAAGACTTCTTGTTTGAAAACACAAGCTACTTTAGAGAGCAGATTATTACTTATAAACATAGCATGTACAGACATCCCCCATTTCAGTATCCCATTTGTATCTAGCTGGTATATGTTTCAGTTGACATTCATTGTTCCCCTGCATATGTGTCAAATTCCTTAATAATGACTCTGACAAAGGCGGCGTGCTCACTATCTAGAAATTACATTTGCTACCATATAATCAGCATTATCTATTTGAATGCTTTTTGTGACAAATCATGTTCAAAATAAAAAAATATATTGAATTGATTTGTCTGTTATTCTAATATCGTGGTGCTCACAGCAAGCCTTTGAGTGAACCTTAACCACTTTAACTCTCTATTTTTGTTGCAGGCAGATCAGAAATGGAGTTTGTACTTTTCAAAAAGCTAAAACAATTTGTAAAACAACAAAATCAAATTTCAAAAGGCATTTTTGTGCTCCAGCCAGAGAAATACATTTGGCAAAGCTCCCGCTACGAGGCACACGTTGGAACGGCGAAACCGCCGTGCCCATAATTTCTCTGCATCCATTTTCATCTAAATGAGATCTTAACTTTAATGCAGGGTCTGAAAGCCTCAACGAGGTCTTTGTTTCTGCTTTTGCTCGGCAGCGACGGCAGGCTTTCTCCCAGGCTAATCTAAGCTCACTGTCACCTTTGGCCCCTCCCTGTTGGCCGTAGGTTTGGGCCAAGTTCTCCGTGTTATGAAGGATTGTGGGGTTATGTTTACTGGTCCTTCATGGGAGTGCCTGTGTTCCCTAGGGATATCATAACAGAATACCACAAAGTGGGTGGTTTTAACAACCAGAACAGGAAATTATTTTCTCACAGTTCTGTAGACCATAAATTAGAATGCATGGCATAGGTGGGGCTAACCTCTCTCTCTCTCTCTCTCTCTGTCTTGCTTTCAACCCTAGAGGAAGAGTCTTCTCTTTCAACTTCTGGTGTTATTAGCTGCCGTGTCCCAACGACTGGCGGCCCCATTTACAATGGGACCAAATGCTGCCTGGTCCTGCCCCATCCCCATGATGATTGATCAGTTGCAGAGAGAACTATTGTGGTCCATATAGTTTTCTGAAACTGATTTTTGGGAGAGTGCCAGGCCTCTCTCTCTCTCTCTGTATGTGTTCTCCTTTGTTTCTGCTTTGACTATTTTGTTGTGTTTTAGGTGAGAAATTACAAAGTACAGTGGATTCTCATTCAGCAATTCATAACACAGATTGACATTGGTTACAATCCCCCTAAAGTGTTGGCATTCTCACCATGCCCAGCCCACCTATTCTGCTTCTGTCCACCCAGTGTCCTTGCCCATCTTTGCCCTTGTTAGCGTTTCTCTAACAACTGACCATTTGCTCTTGTATAGTTGATTGGTCACTGTTTGTTTCATGAGCTGGTCTATTATTTGCCTTGAAGGTGACCTCTGGGAGTGGCTTCAGTTCTAGGTTAAAAGGGTATTTTAGAGTAACAGAAGGGTATTTCTGTTATTTGTCCCTCTGGGGTGTGGGGAGGGTGTTATATATCCAACATTGTGACTGGTTCCCCCTTTTTCCCTCCCCTCCCCCTACTTCAGGGTGTTGCTACTCCTACTACTGTTCCTGAGGGGTTTATCTGTTCTGGATTCCATGTGTCGAGAGCTCTTATCTGCACCAGTGTATATACTCTGGTCTAGCAGGACTTGGAAGGTAGAACTGAGCTCGTGGTAGTTGGGGGAGAGGAAGCATTCAAGAGCTAGAGGAATGTTACGTGCTTTGTCAGTGCAGTATTGTACCCTGGCTAAATCGTCCCTTTTGTGTGGCCCTTCTGTGAGGCGATGTCCAATTGTCTACAGATGGGCTTTGGGTCCCCTCTTGTTTGCAATGATATAATTGTTTGTTTGGGATCTTTTGATACCTGCTACCTGATCCTGTGGACACCTCATGATCACACAGGCTGGTGTTCTTATTGTGTGTGGGATTTGTTGCTTCCCTGCTAGTTGGGCACTTGTTTAACTTCAAGCCTTTAAGACCTCAGATAGCCTT